CAACATACTTTTATAATCCTTCATTTATACTGAAGTCACAGACATTTTTTGAAAATATAAACAACCCTGGTCAGTGTGGCTCAATTGGTACACTGAAAGATTAAAATTTTTTTAAATATATTTTTTAAAATATATTTTTATTGCCCTGACCAGTTTGGCTCAGTGGCTAGCATGTCGGCCTGAGGACTGAAGGGTCCCAGGTTTGATTCCGGTCAAGGACATGTACCTTGGTTGCGGGCATATCCCCAGTAGGGGGTGTGCAGGAGGCAGCTAATAAATGTTCCTCTCTCATCGATGTTTCTAACTCTCTATCCCTCTCCCTTTTTCTCCATAAGAAATCAATAAAATATATTTTAAAAATATATTGATTGATTGCAGAAATTAAGGGGGAGTGAGATTGAAAGAGAGAAAGAGAGATAGAGATAGAGATAGAGAGAGAGAGAGAGAGAATCATCAATGATGAGAATCATTGATCGGCTGCCTCCTGCATGCCTCACACTGGGGATTGAACCTGCAACCCAGACCTGTGCCCTGATGGGGAATCGAACCGTGACCTCCTGGTTCACATTCAACCCCTGAGATGCCTGGCTGGCTGGAGTGGTTTTCATACACTACTTCACAGGCTGGCACTGACTGGCTGACTTGACTCTAAGGTCTCCAGGAGGTATACAGAGAAGGCATCATTGTTTTACAAATGCCTCCAGATCTTCTCTGGCTGACAGAACAGGTCTGAAGTTAAAGGAATGGCTCAGGTCACCAGCACCTCAGGAACTGAGGCTGAGTGTGAACTCCGCCCTGCTTCGCTGTGGCCCTGCAGGTGTGACCTGTGCCCGCAGGGCAGGAGGCCACAGCATCCCCTGAGTCCCTAACGTGCGAGTGAGCCACGCTCTGCTCCGGGGAGTTCATCCTCTGTCCTTGGTGTGAGATCGGCTCTAAAAGGGACGAGAAAGTTGACTCTCTGGACATGAGGGATCTGCGGGGTGGGGTTGGGGTGGGGGGGGCATTGGTGCACATGCCCAGAAGCCACCGGGTTCCAACAGCATTGAGTAGCTTCTGCAGATTTCCTGGCTGCTGACATGGGTCAATTAAATATACAAATCTGATTATGTGCATACAGATTAATTTAGAACTGCTTTGCTCTGTTGTCCCCAAGTTTAGTTATACCAGGGAATTAGCTGCCTAGGCAAATTGTAGATATTCTTGAAATACGGACCTGAAGGCCAAACGCTGAGAACTCTGTGTTTTGTGTTAGCACAAGCTCTGGCTGCTGACCTGGGATAACTTGCATAGCGTTCACAGTAGGAATTTCAGATTCAGAGCCCAGTTTGCATATTTAAAGTGATTGTATTAACACCTGCTTCTTTTTCATTTAGGTGTCTTAGTTTATGGATTATTTTTGGATGGCGCTTCCTGGAATAGAAAGATAAAGAAACTTGCAGAATCACTTCCCAAAATTCTTTATGATACAGTGCCTGTGGTTAGTATTTCCCAAGGGTATATGCCTGGGTGGCTATTTTATACACATGTGCGTGCATGCGCGCGCGGGCGAACACACACACACACACACACACACACACACACACACACACAGTCAACTCATTATTCAGAATAACCATGTTTCATAAATTTTTAAAAATTGATTTCTAGAGAGGAAGGGTGGGAGAGAAACATTGATTGGCTACCTCCCTCATGCGCCCCAACTAGGGATCAAACCAGAATCCTGGCCATGTGGCCTGACCAGGAATTGAACTGGTGACCCTTCAGTGTTGCTGCCAACATTGAATTAGTGGACGTTGAACCACTGCTCCCAGGAGAAATGCTGACTGATCAATACATAACCTTGTTTTATTTGTGTTTCTGTCTACAGGCACTTTCTCTCTATATAAAAGCCTAATATGCAAATTGTCCCCTCAGAAGACTGGGAGTTCCATAGCTCGTTATGACATGTGCTGACCACCAGGGGGCGGTGCAGAATGAAGGGAGGCCCCAGCCTGCTGTAGGCAACCAGCAGCCAGGAGGCAGCAGCCAGGGGAGGGAGGCCCTGGCCAGCAGTAGGAAGGCCCTGATTGGCCCTGACTACCAGCCAGGCCTAGGGACCCCGCCTGTGCTCAAATCTTGTGCACCGGGCCTCTAGTATTTAATAATATTGTTGACCATGACCATTGAACTCACGAACCCGAGTGCTGTAGCTTGTGCCTGAATAAAGCTGACAGGACTTTTCCCATAAGGCATGCCACAACCTGCGTGCACGTCATAGCCTGCATGCACGTCATAGCCTGCATGCACATAGGAATACCAGACAACCTCGTAGCATGACGCTCGTGGGTCCCTTCAAACAGGAATATCGCCACTAACAACGACAAGGATCCACAGAAATGTTTCAAGTTGGACACTAAGTAAACCATCAAAGGATAGGTGTTTAGCTGTGAGACGAAACAAGAGGCAGACAAAGATCCTGTGGGCAGAGCCAGATCCAGAATGAGACCTGAACGGGCAGTCACAGGGCAGGTGTGGAATGTTCCTTCCCTTCACATGGAAACGCGTTAAGTGGTGGCAGGTGCTAGATGGTGCTTATCCGGAGCCCAGCCTTGCTGGCTGCTCTGCGCATGTGTGCACAGGACCAGGAGGATGCAGAGTGCTGATGTCAGCATGACGAACACTCGTTAGTGCTCAGCAAGTGTGCAAGTACAGAGCCCAGGAGTGATGAGGATCAACTGCATGTATGGACCCACCGACACACGCACACGTTTTATTATGTAATTTTTTTCCTGCCATAATCCTTGACCTAAAAATGTGAACTGACATCCCAAAGTATGTTTTCCAGGCACCCGTTCAGCATGGGCAGACCAAACCATGTAAATTCTGAATTCCTACCTGTCGCTGCGTCAGGGAAAATGGCTGGATGTTCACTCAGGTGGAGGGTGACACGGCGCTAACACAGTGGCTGGGTTTTGTGAATGGCTTGTGGGAAAAGGGAGCAGCCTAGGCAGGCAGCAGCCCTTCCACGCAGCTCGGACAGGTGGAGGGGGACCAGCCGGCAGGCAGCTGCAGGGAACCTGCCCCGACACAGAGGCCCGGGGGGCTGAGGAAGTTGCAGAGTGAGGTCCGAGCTGGAAGTCACAGGGTGGTGTGCAATGTCAGGAGTGGACTGGTATCGGTCTTTTCTTCCCCTTTCACACGGAAACGCTGACGTAGTTGCAGTGACTTAGGAGAAGGAATTTTAAGTGGGTGATTCTCCCAAATAGGAAATTAGTGAGAAAAATTCTCATGAAGAAAATCCACTCTTGCCTGGCTGGTTTGGCTTGGTGGATAGAGCGCCGGCCTGTGGACCGAAGGGTCCTGGGTTTGATTCCTGTCAAGGGCACGTACCTTGGTTGCGGGCTCCTCGCTGGCCCAGGCCTTGGTCTGGGTGCATGAAGGAGGCAACCAATCCATCTGTTTCTCTCACGTTGATCTTTCTCTCTGTCTTGCCTAGTCTCCCTAAAAGATCAATGAAAAAAATATCCCCAGGAGAGGATTAACAACAACAAAATCACCCCCCCACCCCCAGATAATCCACCTTTGGGTGAAATGAAACACTGTTGTGTGAATCCTCCTCATAAGAATCTGGATTCCAGTTATGTGGGGGCAAAGACTAGCATCCTTATTAGCTCCTTCCTACAGCTTACATTTTGACCTGAGAAACCTAAGAGAACTAGGGATAACGGGGTCAAGCTTTGCCACCTCAGAGGATCGCTGCTATTACCACCACAGAGAAATGAATGCAAGTAAGTCCTAACATGTGTTTCATCTTTATGGCCAGTTGGTTCTGTGTCAATATCCAGAGGTCAGCTGGCCCGTCCTGTTGTTGAAGTTGGGGAGGTTCAGCCGCACTTACATTCTATAACATGGCTGGCTCTAAAGATAACGTGGGTGCATTGCACCTGCATGACATACACACCAGCGACCTTAAAACACCGCCCCCCCCACACACACACCCTAGGGTTCAGTGGGTGGAAGCGCCATCGAGGACACCACAGGGTCCCGGGTTTGAGTCCTCGCCAGGCCACATGCCCAGGTTAGTTAGGGTGCACGTGGTAGGCAACAGATAGATATTTCTCTAAAAAAAGATGTCCTCTCTTGAGGATTAAAAATAATAAGAAGATATTTCCCTAAAACGGGGAAGTGACCTGGTCCCACCATCATTGATAAGAATCCTCCCCGACTGTCTCGGGATGGGACTTCATGAATAAGGCAGCATGATTCTGAGTACCAATGGTGGCGGCTTCCTCTCTGTAAGGTATACCTGACCTGTGTGTAAGCACCAAAAGTCCTCTCCAGGTCAGTACGGTGGAGAGGGGAGGAAGAGTTAGCGAGCTTTTTGACAGCAGAGGTGGGAATGACCACGGGTTTTTTTCTCACTGAGCTTCTAAACTGGTTCTGATAGCTCGGGGGGCTCTGGAACCACAGTGGGCCATGGCAGTGCTGCTGACAACGGAGCTCCTCGGGCCACCGAAGTTTGCAGACTTAGCTGACTCTAACTATGTGCTCACGTTCCAATTCAGCAGCCCTCACTCAGGTGTCCGCTCTTCCTTCCAGCTGTGGCTGAAGCCCTGCAGGAGGGCCGACATCCCCAAGCGACCAAGCTACGTGGCTCCGCTGTACAAGACCAGCGAGCGGAGAGGGACGCTGTCCACCACGGGCCATTCCACCAACTTCGTGATCGCCATGACGCTGCCCTCCGACCACCCGAAGGAGCACTGGATCGGGCGCGGCGTGGCCCTGCTGTGCCAGCTCAGTGTCTAGCGCCAGACGCCCGTCCGCCCCGCTCCCCTCTCGTCACACGATTGAGTAGAAAATAGATTTTTCCTTTTTAAACAACCTAATTAGTGGAAGTCAATCCGTCTAAAGTTACACTTAATTATAAACTTATTAATGTGCAAATGCAGCCCTTATTTACAATGGATGTCCTCAAATAAAGATTAGACTAGAGATGGCACACTGGCATCTTGATCTTTTTGAATGTCTTTATTTTGGGAGTTCCACAGGCAGTAGGAACATACATAAAATGACACACCACTGTTGACAATGAAAAAAAAACAGCATTTGATCACTTCAGCTTTATAAATTTAAAAAAAATGATTCAGTTATAACAACAACAACAACAAAAAGTTTAGATATTTTAGCAAGTATCACCTTGCAGGACCATCATCACATTTAAGCCACTGACTTACTGCTAACTTCACACTGCACTAGTCACTGGAGGATTTCTAAGCATAATCACAGCGGATCGAATGCAATGTGGCGTACACCGAATTTCATACAGATGTCACACGGTGACAGCATTGTACGGTAATAGCAATGACCTCCAACACACTCCTTAAAGCAGGCTGGCCACGCTCAATGGAATGTTGGAGCCAAACAGAAATGTAGTGGAATTCAGATTGTCTGTAAGACTTGAAATTCTGCATCAGAATGACGTGAGAACTAAACACTGGTGGAACCCTAACAAAATACTAGCAGCCACGGTCCCAACCCTCCTAAAAGATCTAGCAAATAAAGATAACACCGTGTTTGAGAGAACATAAAACTTCATGTACTTCAGCATGGCCTATTTGCTTTACATCGGATGCTTCCGACAGGAGCACACTGCAGCTGATGCTCTCCATAAAGGTTTTTTGAGATAAGCAGATCTAACAATGCTGGAATGCAGAAGCTGCCCGGGTAGACACCCAGCAATGAACTATACACTTGGCTTGGTTCAGAAAGCAAGGAACGTGAGTCCCTTGAACTTGGCAGTACTAAATAAAATATCAGCACCTTTTAGCTCAGTTGCTTAGAGGGTCAAGCAATGAGATGAGGACTCCTAATCGGCACCCACTGCTGAAATAACCCATGCAGAGAACTCCGCCTCATAGGGGAGACCAGGGGCAAAGCCAGACGCAACGGCACAGCCGGGCACCCCGTAAGAAACCACACCCAGCTCCCTGCTCGCAGCAGAAAGAAGGAACACTGCAGCCCTCCACTGACACCGGGGCGTGCTGCCCTCACAGTTCTGGTTTCTGTTGTGGAGTCCAGGAGGAAAGGAACCGGGGAAAGGAGGAGGACTGAGCGAAAGTATCCTAATGGAATGGAAAGAGTTTGGCTCTTCAGTATTGAGCAGGAAGATGTTTAAAGCAGCTACACGTAGCCAAGCAGATTAAAAGGAAGCTGCCTGCCCAGCGTTAAGCAGAGCTGAACTGGTGGAAATGAAGCCAGGTGGCACAGGGTGGGAACAGAAAGCTCCATGCATTTGACTGTGCCACAAATGATTAGGTCAGATTCAGAGTAAACACAGCTGGCACTTCTCACAAATTGGTCACAATTAATGGTAGGAGAACAGGGCACCTACAGAAGAGACTAATCCCTATCAGGCACCAACAGCACATCTTGGCACAAAATGATCAAGTGACTTTAGCTCAGTAATTTAAGTAGATCTTCCCAGTCACGTGGTACTCTGATAGCCCAGTACCACTGGGATCACCATCTTTTGTTTTGTTCCTCTACCACTCCGTGTACTGGTCATGGACATAGTACATTTGAATTTACTGTCAGCAACAGCCTGGTCCCAACGCCATCTGGTAAAGCGATACATATATTTAGAACTTAAATTTCCCAAATAACTAGCTAGTACTGTTAAAGCAGGAAAATTGAATATTTAGACCATGTTTGGATTCTTCACTTCTCTGAAATTTTCTAGAGGATTATAATTTTAATTATAAAAAAAACATTTTACCACATGCTCCGACCACCTACCCCACCCAAACCTCCCCCCAAAAAAACCCAAAATTAAAAAAACAAAAACAAAAACACCCAAATACCAAGTATAATATTAATACAAAGAACCATTATGAATCTTCCATTAAACTGAAGCTCACACAAACATACAATCACACATTTCAGTAGTTTAGGCTGGAAATTTAAACACTGTAAATATATACAAAAATAGTAACTCTAGATTCAAGAATAAGGACTTTTCCCAATGCTAAATCCACACCTTACTGCAGCCTGAGCTCTCCTCTGGGCCCTAGAATCTACATATTCAATCTCAAAGTCAAGTTGATCCCTGTTACCACATGTATATATCTATGTAGCTGAATTAAAGGACACTACAAGTCATTTTTAGCACAAAGAAAAGTCTGTTCAAAGTCCATTTAAAATATTTTAAAGTTTAAGTGATTTTTTTTGGTTCAATTTCTATTTCTGCATAGCCACAGAAGTTTCTACTAATAAAGAGACTACTTTAGTGTTTTATATGATTACTTTTTGCAACTCTTAATCCTACATCAATGATGTTTCATGGAGTCCCATATTCTCCTTTCTATACGACAAGCTTTACATTTTGTAAAAAGACAGTACAGAGCACCAGTCTCGGGAGTCAGCTCAAACCTCGGAACGTGTAAGCGGTGCAGCCAGTGTCCTTTCCTGGAGCGATGGCACGCAGTCCAGGGACAGATGCCAGGCTGCACGGTAGCCTCCTGTAACCACGTGATCCCGGAATGTCAGAACTGGAAGTCAAACACTATTTTGTCCTCGTAGAGGGCGATCACCAGCATGATGGCAAATCCAAACAGCATCCCCAAATTCTGCAGCACGAACTGGCCCACCGGGCAGAAGCCATGCTCTTCGTTGTCACCGTCGCCATGCAACATTTCCGGGAGCTAAACAGAAACATGGGTATTTACCAGCGATTTTGTACAGTCATCTGCTCAAATACTTTTTTTATTTTCTCACTTAAGAATACTAATGACTGAAGCATAGCTACAGATAAAATAATTATTTTATTGAACACAATGCTAACTATAACGTATTCTCATCAGACTTGGAGTGACTGGCAAGAGGCAGAGTGCTCCTGAGGGTGAGGAGGAGATAGGGTTCAGCCAGGAAAGCTGGAGGCGGGAGGAAATGGAAATGCTCAGGAGGATGGAGCACCATGAAGGTGCTTTTACACAGAATCAGACGGAAAACCACGTAAAGGATGGAAGCATACCAGCGGCACGGCCTAACCGCTGAAGGCTCCCGGAAGATCACACTAGCTGGTGTGCTAACAGAGTGCTGTGGACAGGGCAGGGCAGAAGCAGGGAGGACAGTTGGAAAGAGAAGGTGGTGGCGGCCTGAGAGAGAGAGAGAGAGAGAGAGAGAGCGCAATAGAGCAGAGGCGGCAGACAGAGCCCTCGGTCCATAGTTGGAAATAAGGAAAGTTACTTAAATTCCTTGGGATATAATTTTCTGCAAGACTGGCTCACCTAAGGGGTATAGCATTTCTTTCTTGTTTGCCATTTTCTTAACATTAAAGCACTTTCATCCCTATATTACACAGCCTTCAAAGCAGTGTCATAATCCTGTAATTCCACCTCTAGATACTACTGATTACTTTGAAGAGTAACATCCTTTGGTCAAAACCTTCAACATCTCAACTGGTTTGCAAAGAGAGCAGGCTCCTATTTAACTATCTTTCCCTAATAGGTTATCGAGGCTAGCCCATGTCTTTAGAATGGGCTACATGCTTTGAAGAATTAGCCTTTCAAACCATATCCAAAGATTTCTCGCACTTTTGGAAGTTGCGTTCTATTTACAGGTTGAGCTTAACAACGGAACAGAATGCATCTCACCATATCCACCAGGGCTACGTAGAGGAACATGCCAGCGGTGATGGCGAAGATCCAGAGGGTGATGCTGTTGGCGTACTGCCCCACGGCGGTGCCGATGAACATGCCGATGTAAGCCATCATGGCCGAGAGGAGGTTGTACACTATCGCCTGCTTCACCGTCATGCCTGCCTTCAGAAGGACTGCAAAGTCACCTGCAGCGAGGGCAGAAGGGGAGAGTTCTAAAACCACAGGAAATCACACACAAGTTTAGGAAAACATCAAGAAGACAGGAGGAGGAATAACATAAAAGGTTACCTTTAATAACAGGCCAATTTGTTTTTTTACTTATGAAATCAAACCCTTGTAACACACAACTTTGGTGAATCCCAAAGGCATGATGCTGACAGACAGTATGACAGGTTATACAGAATCCATTTCTATGGCAGTCTACAAAAGAAAACTACAGTCTAGGGCCACCAACGAGCAGGGATGAGGAAGGGGTGTGACTCTACAGGGAGAGCATGAAGGGTTTGTGTGAATGAATCAAAATTGCAACTATGTTTTGGGTCACATCAACCAAAACAAAATGTGGTTTTGGTGGCCACATTATTTTAGTAATGAGTTCATGTGTGCCATGAGATGAAAAAGATTGAAAATCTCTGGGTTAGAGAGAAGGGCAAAATTCTGTAAGAAATAATGTCTTATAGCTAAAGGGTCAAAATTAATAATTTCACTAACTATAATAAAGTTTTTTTAGTTACTAAATATATAAACATTCATGTAATTGTTGAACACTTAGTATATACAAGGTAACATGCAGAATTCTGGGGCTTGTTTCTTTCTCTTAAAAAGCGATGGTAAATGACTGAAAATGCATGACCTGCTAATGAAGTTAACAAAGAAATTCGTGCAAGCCATTATTTTTCCATGTGCTAAGAAACTGTTGCAAATGACATACCTGCAACATTATTGGGGGAAATGAAGATAATACACCTAAGAAGATTAGTGTCTACCACTGGCTTCACAATTGCCATGCTCCGGTTTCCCCTCTGATGTTATCTCCTGCATCTCTTCTCCACTGACCCTGAGCACTAACTGCTCCAGGGAGACCGGAATTCACATCAGCTTTATCTCCTTCTCTCCCAGAGTTTAATTTCCTCTGGCCTTTCTTTCTCAGCTTCCTTCACAGAAAGAGCTTCTTAACGTCTTCCTCTACCAAGTTCCTGGCCACATTTTCAGTAATCCACCCACCAATGTGCTAACAGGATGATTTCACTCAGCAGGGGGTTAGATAATCCAAAATGAGACTACAGATGTGTATAATTTTAAACAAAAATTATACAATAGCCCTAACCAATTTGGCTCAGAGGATTGAGCGAAGGCCTGCAGACTGAAGGTCCGGGTTTGATTCCAGTCAAGGGCTTGTACCCTGGTTGCAGGCACATCCCCAGTAGGGGGTGTGCAGGACGCAGCTGATCAATGTTTCTCTCAAATCGATGTTTCTAACTCTCTATCCCTCCCCACTTCCTCTCTGTAAAAATCAATAAAATAGAATTTTTAAAAAAATTATACAAGAAGAAAATGATGACATTCTACTCTGCCATCAGCCATTCTTTATGCTTTGACACTCCTAACATTTGGATGCATTTAAACATTGAAGAACCTGAGATGTGATGAGTATGGTAAAATATTAAAGGCCATATTACCTAGTTCGTGTGGCAGCTCGTGACAGAAGACAGCGATGGACGTACTGATGCCTCCGGTCAGCCCAGCGCTGAAAGCTGCTCCTGTGAGGGGAGGGAAACACAGAAGTGACGCTCATGGCTCCTCGGTTTTGCCTTTTTCATTAATGACAGGTGCAGCATCTTTTGCCTTTCTAAACTAATTTCATAATACATGAGTGACTCGCTTACCTTATAAACTATAGTTTTTGAACAGCTAGTGGGTTCAATAGGTATTAATCAGAAAAAGAGCTACTTAGTGAAAGAAATATTCCCTATTAAATTAAAATTTATAGTTTGGGTAGCCTTTTAACTCACTAATAGCTTAAAAGTAGTAATGATTGTCAGTATTTCCATCTCTGATGGTACAATAGTTTGAAGGTCAATTTTAACTCATATAAGTACATTTATACATAGTTAAGTGACTAGTATTTTTATCCGAACTGTTCTGGGCTTAGAGCACAAATCATACAAATTATTATTTGTCTGATGGTCTTGAAGACTGAGACCAGAAGTATAAATGCATCTAATTCTATGAGTAAAAACATTGGCAGCCACTGTGGATCCAAAAATACAGTCTCTCCTTTCTGAAAGATACCGAAGTATATTTCTGAATAATTATATAAGAGTCTTGATCTCAAAGATCATGTATTAATCCCATTCATTTACTGTCTTCCCGAACTGGCAGAATCAGTTTACATTAGCAAAATTCTAATATAATATATTTGAATCTGGTACAATGAATTTTTTAACATTACAAAATTTTTCTTCACCTTTTTATTAGATATAAAAAAATGAAATCCAAAATTTCAATTATTGGTTCTCATTTGAGCATGTATAAATGTAAATGTACTTGAAAATACAATGTTAAGGTAGCTTTTTCAATGTGGTAACAAGGCCTTGAAAATAAAATTATTTGAGAAGTATAATATAACCATAATAAGTTCAATAAAAAATAAATTTAAAAAGTGTGTCCACACATTTAAAATATAGATGCTGCCCTTACCAGTTTGGCTTAGTGGATAGAGAATTGGGCTGCGGACTCAAGGGTCCCAGGTTTGTTTCCAGTCAGGGACATGTATCTTGGCTGTGGGCACATCCCCAGTAGGAGGTGTGCAGGAAGCAGCTGATTGATGTTTCTCTCTCATTGATGTTTCTGACTCTCTCTCCCTCTCTGTAAAAAACAGTAAAATATATATTTTTTAAATGAAATAAAATAAAGATGCTGGTATGCACACACACACACACATACAGAGAAGCATATTACAGACATTTGTTTACATATTCAAAGAAAAAAAACCCCACTGAAATTATACCTTTATGTCCCCAGCTAAACTCATCAAAAATATTAGCATAGCCTTTGGAAATTCAAGTGCCTGAAGGAACGCAGAGAGGTGTGTGTGTTAAGCCCTGATTTCGATCTCTTTAGTGAAGAATGACGCGGGGAGGACGTCTTCCCAGCAGCGCCCGGACTCACCGATGGCCAGCCCGTCGCTGAAGTTGTGGATGCCGTCCCCCATGATCACCATCCAGGCGATGTTGGCGATGCCGGTGTCTTTCAGGTCCGAGCCCGAGTGGCAGGGGCCGTGCGAGTGATGCGCGTGCTTGTGCCACTGGTGCTTCCGCAGCGCGGCCTGGTTCTCGTCGTGGTGGTTGGGGGCGGCCGCGCGGAGGGCGTGCTCGTCGAGGGCGTGGAAGCCGTCGCTGTGAGAGTGGTCCAGGATTTTCTCCTCTTCCACACAAAGGTAGTTTTTGGGAGGGGATTCCTGGTGGCCTTCTAACTCTGTCAGCTCCGTTTCATTAAGGCGATCTTCAGAAACAACCGAGTCATCCGTTCCTGCGTTTATGACAGCAGAGGCCATGCTTTATCCACAGTAAGGCACGCATGTTTGCTCATTTAAACCGACAGAACAGCATTGCAATGAACATTTTAAGTGAATGTCTTTTAAAATTCACTAAATAAATGAATATCTAAAAACAAATACAATACATTAAAACGTGAGCACACACACAAGGCCAAAAGGTGCCCCGGGGACGAGGAACTGTAGGCGAGGAGCAGAGGAGCGCAGGTGGAAGGCGCTGGGACGTACGGAGTGCTCATGAACAGCTGATGGACACAAAAGGGGCAGTTACTGTAGTGTTTACAGGTAAAAAATAAACGCCTAGCTTTCCCGAGAAAGAACAATCCTTCAGGTTTGTCCACTGTAACCTCCTCGTACCATGCAAGGAGACAAAGTGTAAGTAATTTGCATCTCTCAATGCTCCACCTGACAATACTACTCAAATCATTACTAGACTGAAGGTCAGAAATTCACATACATGACAGAATCTGTTAAGTTTTGATTTTTAAATTGAGGTTGACCTCTGACCTAGTTTTCAAGTTATTTATTATGTGACAAATATCCTAATACTCCCAAATTCTACTTTGGGGCAGAGTCTACAGTGGGCTCTAGGCTGCTGCTTTTCTGCAGAAAATCACTGGTACACCCAGGGAAACAGGAGGGGGTGGGGAATGTTAGATTAAAAAGCTCTGCTTTCCCTACAAATCATAAGCTACCTTATTACAGCTACCAGGCAGAAGAACAGCAGGATGGGTGCGGAGAGACTTCAAGCTCAGAGATCCTTCTCCTGCAAGCACAGAGGCTGATCCTCCTTCCACAGAAAACCCATCACATGCTGAGGCACAAAGATCTTGCCTTGCCAAGAAGTAACATTACGCTAACCCACCACTCGCAAAGCCTTTTTGTCTGTCTGTTTCATTGTTCTCCTGTAAAGTACAATAGGTTTTTTGCCCTGTGATGCAATTAATTTATCCCACTTCTGGTATAAATAAGGCTTAAACAAACCAAAAAACTAACAAAAGCACAATTAAGACACACTTGCAATTAAGAAAATTTAAATTAGAAACTAAAATTAGGGAAGCCACAAAGACACAAAATATCAAGCAACACGAACACAGTTTAGAAGTGACATTTCAATTGCTACGTTTTAAAGTTTCTTGTCAGTCAGAACTATTCCCTACCTGCAAGAGGCTTGAGCTGCAGCCAGTCGGCGTCTGGCGTGTTATTGATCTTGTGGTCTGAAAGCTTCCTGCCGATACTCGATTCTTCTGTGCTCTGCTTCATAAACCACTTCTGTTTCCCCTGGGAAAAAAAAAATCTGGTATTATTACCAAATCTGCAGCCACAAGTAGCAGCAATATTTACTTATTAACATCTATGGAGATGACTGGTGTTAACTTCATGCATAAATTATATGGTAAAAAAGTGAGAAAAAGAAAATTTTTTAGAAGTTAATCAAGGGGTCTAACCAGATGAAAAATACAGCTATATTTGTATGTTAGTGTTGCTTTTTTTGAATACTCAACTAAAAGGTTCAAGTTCATCTAATTCAAAGTTAAAAGGATACACACTACTATATTTTTATAATATAGTGAAATATATGTAATCTCTCTTATCTAATAGTGATGAATGCAATCTCATATTTCCCTACTTGTGACATAATCGTCAAACCTCACTTAAAATAGCAAGTCTGCAATTAACTTCTGAGACTGTTAAATTTATAAAATATAATAATACTCATCTGCAAAATGAAAATGATTATGTGGATTAAATGAGGGGATGTATGAAAATGACCTATAAGTAACTGACTCTAAGCTTGGCGATAAAGCTTTGTTTCTCAGCTAATCTGTTCTCAATTACTAATAAATTCTAATTATTGTATTTTATTGTTTAGGTTTGAATCTTCCTAACTTATCTCTAACCTGGAGGCCTGGTGCACGAAATTCCTGCACAGGTAGGGCTCCTAGGGTTGGCCAGCAATCGGGCTGATCGGGGCCTTCTGGCTGCTGGCCAGGGCGTCCCTTTGCCAGCTGCTGGCTGGGCCTTCCTTCATTCCGCACTGTCCCCAGGTGGTCAGCACAGGTCATATCGAGCGAGTGAGCGAACTCCTGAGGGGACACTCCACGTATTAGCCTTTTACATAGATAGATAGCCTCCTTCTTCTTTGTTCAAGTAACTACCACTAACTCTTCCAACTTGAAGTTCTATTTCTAGTCTATGTGAATGTAAGAGACTAATCACAGGTATGTTGGAAAGTTGGCGTTGCTTCCAGCTGTAAATGGTGTCAGTCTCCTAACGCTGTGAGGTAGCCTATCTGAGCTAGTGAAGTCTTCAGCGATGGCCACCATCAGCCTCTTCCCTCCCGGCCTCAGTCTTCTTCTCTACCTGGCAGCACGTACCGCACATTCCCCTGCCTGAATTCTGGCTGGCCTTTGCCTTGCCTTCACCTAACACACTGGACGGGAGGCTGGCTGGCACTTTGTTTGGTGGGAAGCAGTCCCGATTCTGGAGCTCGGTCTAGACTCTGCAGGGAGGGGGTGGGGGGGTTTGGTGTGTGAGGAGACCAAGATGCAGGCACTCAGATGAGGAGGGAGGCATTCCTGGACTTCCCCTGCCCTGGCAGGCAGTGAGTGGCTCTAGCTGACACCAAGTGAAGCAAAAACACTGCTCAGTTGGGCCCTGCCCAGATCCCTGACAGGATGAAGAGAAATAATAAACCGTTGCTATAAGCCGTTAAGTTCGGGTTGTTCTGCTTCATAGCAATAGGTAACAGAAAGGGGAGACACAGACAACGTTCAAATAATAAAAGTATGGAGACACCCTGGGAGGAGAGTCACTAAAGAGGAGGAGGAGCCACCAGCAGGAAAAGCTGAGGGATGGAGAGTAAAGGAGAAAATGCGAACGGCTGCTGGGATTCTGGGGCTCCGATTGCCCACTTCCTGAAAAACCTGCCAAGTCATCCGCCTCCAGCTCAGCCTGAACCAGTCATGGTCGGGTGCTGCCGAATGGATGCTCTTGAAAGCTCCCTTCCAAGAGCTGACTTTCCCATCAGGCGATCAAGTGTCTGTTCTGTTCGAGTATCACTCATCTTCTTTCCGCAGAAAGGCCTGCACAGCGCGTGTCATCGTAAATTAGGCGTTGTCCTGTTATCAGGAAGGACACGCACGGACTCATCTATCTAGATTCCTTTCCTTGATATACTTGAAGAACTCCTTATTATAAACTTACAATACCCCTCTGCTAAGAGTACCTTCTATTTTTTATCTCCTACAATTTCTTTCTTTTTAAAAATATATATATATATTTATTGATTTCAGAGAGAAAGGGAGAGGGAGAGAGAGGAAAAAAAAAAACATCAATGATGAGAGGGAATCATTGATTGGCTGCCTCCTGCATGCCCCACACTGGCGATGGAGCCCAAAATCTGGGCATGTGCCCTTTGCAGGAATCAAACCTGGGGCCTTTCAGTCTGCAGGCCGACACTCTATCCGCTGAGCCAAACTGGCTAGGGTCCCACAATTTCAAATTTATAAATAAGCTGCCATATTTTGGGAACTCTGTTCTCCTACATTAGTTTACTTTATAAAAATAAATGTGTTTCATGGCGAAACCGGTTTGGCTCAGTGGATAGAGCGTCGGTCTGTGGACTGAAAGGTCCCAGGTTCGATTCCGGTCAAGGGCATGTACATTGGTTGCGGGCACATCCCCGGTAGTGGGTGTGCAATAGGCAGCTGGTTGATGTTTCTCTCTCATTGACGTTTCTAGCTCTCTATCTCTCTCCCTTCCTCCTCTCTGTAAAATATCAATAAAATATATTTAAAAAAATAAAATAAAATAAATGTGTTTCATTTCGCTGGTAAATTTAAGTTCAAACTGAGATCAATATTAAATTATAAAAAAGGAAAATTGGTGTACGTTATACTTCTCTGTAAATTATACAGTCTCTAATAATTTAGACAGATTAAATGCTTACTATCTGCTGCTTTGATGTTAGTAGGTACACACAACTGAAGAGAATTTAGGCTTCACAGTTATTCCAAAACTGCTTTATAAAGTTTGCAATATGTCACTGTGATCTAAATCAGGTACTCACTGAGATGGAGTCGAAATTCCCATGTTCCTTACATCTAATAAAATTCCAAGTCTTCTCATTGATGCTTTCATTTTAACAGTTCTCTTACCCACCTCCCCTCCCCCAGTCCTTACGCCATGACTGTAGCTCAAGCCCACCTCACCGCTCTCAATGACTGGCACTGACTGCCTTCGCCGATTCCTCCCCTCCAGCCCCTCTTACTCAGCACCCTTCCACCACATTCTAGTCTTCCCGCCACGACCTTCCACAGCCCTTCCACCACCACGTGCTGTGGGCTCTCTCTCACTCTGCCCTAAGTGGGTCCTTCCAGTTCCTTTACCGTTCCTCAATCCTTCTTCCCTGGCCACTATCATGCCCCTCTCCTTCGGAGGCAAATAAACATGATGGTGCCCTGACTAAAATATGGCCATGAAGGTGAAGTATATTCTACTTGGAATAGGATATGAAAATGAGAAATGGGATTTGTTTTCCGTAGTTAGCAACTGAAAGTCATGATGAATGAATCAGTTTTACAGCTAGCTATGGCTGAGCAGGAACTAGAATCACTCCCCCTGCCTCCCAGCTCAGAGCTCTATTGTAAACTATTTATTTTGTCTCAAGAAGATCTATGAACAACACATACATATACCAAAAATATATACATAAAAACAGCATAAAAGTTGTATCCTAGGTGTGGACTGTATACATGATGATCACGACTATCCAATGTTCTTGAGGAAGAAGAAAGTATTTTTTTTTTAAATATCTGCAGTTAACTAACAAAATGTAAGAATTTTTTAATCCTTTTTATTTGGGGTGTGTGTGTGTGTGTATAGAAAGCTTCCTAAAAATGTCCTCTAGATTTAAAGAGCATATACTGAAAATAATCATGTTAGTGAAATATATTCAAGATAGAACTTTAGATACACATAAATCACTTCAACAGAGAGACGTGTAATCATGGTGAATGGTAATCCCAAACTTACCTTCCTGGGGAGAAAATTCTTTTGGTATTTGTGTTATTCTCATAAATGTGACAGGAAACTGACAGTTCATGAAAAGCAGGGTGTGTGTGATCAACAGTTCAAGCATCATCTCCCACATGGTTTGTCACTCTTGAGAAGAATCACCATTTCCTTCATTTGCCTTATTTCCTTCCTACAAAGCTTCCTGAATGTAAATTCTTATACCTCTAGTATCCTGCCATTGGCCAGGCTTTCTGATAAGAAGTATGCTGTCTGACAACATTTCCATTCAAGTATGTGACAATGAAAGCCACTTAAGAGTTGAAATTACCTCAGAAGACACATGAAACTTGCTTGTATTTGTATGTTTTTGCATTTTTGTAAGTGCAAACTGACCAATAGCTTTTGCATCCTGTTTAATTCAGTTAAATAAGGTGTGACACAAATGAGCTGAGACTGAGACTACTATTTCTTGATTATAAATGCCAAAATAAATGTAATGACCAAAATGGCCAGGATCAAAGCCATTTATTACTATGAAGATAACCTATTAAAAAAGAGAGACTTAAATCACACCAACACCATAATTAAACACCTGGCCAGAAAATGATGGTCTTTTGAGTTTACATCCCAGAAAGCGAAATTACTCACTCTCTGCTGCTTGTAGTGCTGAAACATCCGAAGGCAGTGTTCAATGATAAATAACAAGTAAATGCCTCCTAGAGCGACGAGTCCTTTCAGCACAGCATCATACTCTTCCAGAAACTTCGTGGGCTCGTGTCCATGAGAATGGCCATGGCCATGCCCATGCGCGTGTGCGTGCTGGTGACTGTGATCATGTCCGCCCTGAGACTGGTATCAAGAATAAGGAAAGTTTTTAAACAAATTATTAAAATGCTATTGAAATGCTATGAAATACGCTTCATGGTAACTAAGACAAAGACCACCAATTCAGATGCTGAGAGGGGTTAAGACACATGCTTCCGTCAGAGAGCCATATCAGCAGTAAGCAAACTGGGAGCGATGGGTCCTTTGTCTATGACCCAGATAAATGCCTGGTATTTAGTAAAAATAAAACAAAAGGAGTTCACCACTGGGTGATCACTTGCGACTCCCTATCACCTAACAACTTCTTAAGCTGATTATTCAGAAGTATATACTGGAATATATCCATAATGTTCTATATTTTAAACTTTAGCAAAAATAAATATATGTGTGCTAATAAAGTTATGTTTAATTGTGAAATGTTTACGTTTCACAATATTAATCTTAAGAGAACTTTAAACATTAGAGAACAACTGTTAAAGTGCACATCGTGGTAATTTGACATGTATACATTCGGACAGGTGAACATAAAACTGACTTTACCAGTCTTTTGGCTATTTTAAAACCTATTAATTCAATTTTTTTTAAAAAAATTGCTATTAAAACTGCTCAAATGGAAAAAAAATATTCTGTTAAGCAAAAAAAAATAAAAAAAAAATAGCACAAATACTAGATTTTTTTTTGTTAGAGCTTGATAATGCAAGAACCTTTTGGCTTAAACACTTCCACTTTTGTTTTACTTTATTTTTAATTTTAAAAGGATTCCTTACATGGGGCAGCAGATGAAGAAGGGCGTCTCCGCTCATTGTTCCTACAGCCAGAGCAACCAGGAATGTAAGGAGGAATTTGAAGCATCCTTGGTTAATGATGGGAACCAAGATCACGCCCAGCAAGGAAAGCAGGCTAATGACAGTGACAGAGATGATACCACAAATCCATGCTGGGGAAAGAAATTGACAGTCAACATTAGCATACAAACATAAATCAAAAAAGCTCCCAAGAAAAATAAACGTAAGATAAATGAGTCATACCCAGACTATACTTTTTAAGAAGCTTTATATTTTGGTACTGTTATACTTAAAAACAAAACAAAATAAATAATCATATAACTAGCTTAAATACTTAAAAAAGGAAATAAGAAACTTAGAGCAAATTATAAATAGTATCCTCAGTGACCCACCTTATCAGAAAAAGGGACTTAAAATGAATTAAGGCTGTGATTCACTCTTAATATCTAGACTGAAATATAAAGGCAGAGCCATAGCAATAAAACTGTTTATTTAAAGAATCCTATATAATAAAAGCCTAATATGCAAATCGACTGAACAGTGGAATGACCTATGACATGCACTGATCACCACAGGGCAGACACTCAATGCAGGAGCTGCCCCAGACCCCAGACCCTATGCCAGCCAAGGCGGGTGCCAGCAGGGGCCCCCAATCACCCTGCCGGTCACCCCACAGATCGGCCCTGATCACCGGCCAGGCCTAGGAACCCTACCCATGTTTGAATTTTGTGCATCGGGCTCTAGTATAGTTATAAACCTCTCCTGGGAACATTAAAGAAAAATCAAGTATATAATACACTGTAATCTTTTTAAATCTTCCTTTAAAAAGTTTAAGAAACCAGATATTAGTCCAAAATGGAAATATATTCACAATACATACAAAAGAGTCTTATTATTGTATCTCATTTCTTATTTTTACAAGGATAATTCAGTTCTACTTTCCTTGATATCATCACTCCTCCAAACCCAGTTCCAAACTCTCCAATTTGACTTTCTGTACTATTTACTTAAAAAACTAAAAAATAACCAAAAAACAAACAAACAAAAACAACCCTTACTTTTTAGAAATAATATTTGCATTTAAGCTTAAGTAAACTCTATCATAATTTCCTAGGTGTTGAAAAAAGCAATTTGGGTAATAAAATTCTTCTGATTTCTAACCAAATTACTGTGCTTTTTAAATCACAATTTATTTGGTATAAAACAAAGACAAATAAAAACTGGTGGGTATGGCTCAGTTGGTTGAGTGACATCCCATGCACCAAAAAGTCACCAGTTCAATTCCCGGTCAAGGCACATGCCCCGATTGTGGTTTGATCCCCTGTAGGAGGCAGCCAACCGATGTTTCACTCTCACATCGATGTCTCTCTCTCCAAATCAATTTTTAAAAAACATATTAAAGAAGCATCTTTTATCAAATGTATGCCAGAATGTATAAACCATTCAATACAACTACCAAACGTTTCCTTTATTTGCACCCAAAACACCAACTGCAATAAAAAAACACATGCTAAATGTCTGAAAGAAACTTCACTTATTCTGCAAATTAGGTCGCTTAAAACGATAAAGGTCTTCGAGCTTAGTTATTCACCAATTCCCCTTCTCATTATCTAGAGAGAAAATGAGTTCTTTTAAAAAGAAGCGTTCATCTGTGGAAACTTTCTAATTAACTTGCTTCAAAGCATGCGCACGATAGCCGTTTTCTACACTGTTTCAGCATTTTAATTGGCAGAAAATGCTTATCAACCTATTCACACCCCCATGGCAATTAAGCCAGGGTCAACTCTATGACTAAATGGGCCAATCTGGTGAAACAAACGATTTCTACAGTACACGGTATAGAGTATATTGGGTTTACAGAAATCTTTGAACAGTTAATGAGGTAGTAGCTGTGCCTCTACGGGAGACTTATATAGAACAAGTTAACCTTTCTTAATGGTACAGCAGTCATTAAAAATAATTTCTAGCAGGGCTTTCTCTCTACAATTCTCAATGTCTGTTAGCACATAATTAATTCAATCTTCATTTCTCACAATGCTAATAACCACCTGCGAACAACTGATCAATATTCACTATTTAGTAATGTATTTGTCTTCAAAGCAAGTACAATTTCCTCTAAGGCTTTTAGATTGATTAACTGTAATTTTCAATATTACTAGTCAAGCAGCTTACTATAATATGTAGATTATTCCAATATTACAGCATGGAAAACTCTAAGTCATAATCTACAGTGAGTGTGGAAGCCAAAATTAGAATTTTTCAAAACCTTAAAAATAAAACAAGGCTATTAATTTTAAATCTCGATGTGACAATCTCGTCAGTCAGTCTCCGTCTCACCTGTACAGAACAAATGACTTGAGTTAAATCAGTACCTCAGGTCCAGCTTCCCCTTCTCTCCTGTCACAGTGACAATGCATAAGGCCTGAAGGACGGAGCCTCTTGAGGTATTTACTCCTCCACAGGATCAGGAAACAGAAGCCAGAGAGGGGCCTATTTACCCACCCAAAACGCAGCATTCAAACCTGGGAATGGACTCACTTTGTCTCCCTTCACTAAGCGTACCAGTCTGGACCCAGCCTGTCTACCCAGAAGACCATTCTTGTGTTTTTTCTTACTAATCTGTACTTACAGCAACACATACCTACACCAGTGTTTACCTCTAGACCACTTTCCTGTCTGGCTGCATGACCTGTGAAAACACTCTAAAGTATAACTAAATGTAACTCTATCTCCCGGTCATATTCTAGCAAAGCATACTTCAGAATCCTTTTAGCAGGAAGCAGTTAAGAACATAATGGTTACAATTACAGGCTTCTGTTTATCTTTTAAAATATAGTTTATTGAATATTGGGGTGACATTGGTTAATAAAATTATATAGGTTTCAAGTATATAATACATCATCTGTATATTGTATTGTGTGTTCACCACCCAAGGTCTAGTCTCCTTCTATCACCAAATGTTATCCCCGCCCCTTACTCTCTCTGTCCACCCTCATCCCCTTTCCTTCTGGTAATCACTGTGCGTGAAGTCACGTGGTACTTGTCTTCCTCCGAGTGGCTTTTTTCACTTAGCATAACACCCTCTAGGTCCCGCTGGCTTTCTTTCCTCTGTGCCTCCTTAAAAACAATCATCTTAGCATTTCACCAGAGCCCTCAACCCCTGCTAAATGTTTAGCAATAATTTTAACTAGGGGCCCGTTATTTACACTTGCCCATTAAGAAAGATCCATTTATCACAAACCTGTGTATCCTTTTTCATCTATTGTAGTTCCTTAGCAAAATCCTTCCTCTGCAATGCCACACTACACCGCCATGCTCCTGTCTTACCCAGGTCTTTTTTAAACACACATATTAAAACATGCGGAAAAACACCCAAGGAGGGCAGTAATTCAGAAGTACTTTCTAATTCAACTATAATACATAAAAAATTAGAATGGAAACCATCGTGAGGAGAAAAAGAAATCTTTCTTACCCGAGGCCCCGACATTTGCTTTATCTTCGGGAACCGTATTTTTATCCTTACTTAAATCTTCAACTACAAGTTTGTCAAAGTGTTCGATACAGAGTCTGCTGTCAATCTGATATAACAGCGCAGGGCAAAGGTAGGTGAACAGATCGGCGGAGATGGGAGCGTTGGCACCGTGGCCATAGTATTTTAACAACTGAGTGACGTTCAAGCACTGTAAGGGAAGGGGTAAAACAAATCAAAGAGTATTTTAAAAGCTCATGCAGAAACAATTTACTGTATAAAGGAAATATTCTAATTATTATTTGAAAATAATTTGTAATACAATATATATTATATATTAGAAATAAAGCTTTTGGATAGGAGTTTATGATAGGGATGCATTCAACTTATTACCCACGACTTTATGGGTTTTAAAGGTTCTTCCATTCTAACACATGAAAGATAATGATCTATTGCCATTGATCAGAGAGATTCGCAACTGTCATCACAAGATTCTTATGGGGGTGGGGGGCAATCACTTCTCTAGCCAAAGTGTATTTATTAGTTACTCAAGATTCTTACTTGTAAACAGTATTAAATAAACTTAAATTACTTTAATTACTTTGCGTTCTAGTATAAGACAGGCTTTTCACTGCGAAGGGGACTCTAGCCTAAGGCTGAAGCTGGAAGGTGAGAACAAGGCAGCTTCCTCCACTAGTGCTTTCAGTGCCAACCCAAACAAAGCAGGAAACGGCGAGCAAGTCTGACCCATCATACAGAAAACAAGTTTCTAAAATTAAGGCAAAAAAGATGGCACTGCCTCGTTTTCACACACATCCGCTTAGCAAGCATACCTGTTTATTGACTTGCTACCTCAGTCTATGATTTTACCTAGGTACAAAAACCAAACCCAGAACACACATACAAACCAAAAACTGATTCTTCCCAGGTTTTAACTACCCAATACATACAATGTTCCCATAAATCCTAAAAAAAATTCAAAATACGCATCAGGTCTGATGATGCCAACCCTACAAGTTTGTCACAAAAAGTAAATATTAATAATAATGTCCAGTTATTAACAACAAAAGATTCAAGGCTATCATCCACAGTAATAGATGAATATAAATCTTTTAAAGTAAACTAATATAACCAGTGTTTATAACTGCTTCAAACAAATTATCTTGTGACTTCTCTAGGGAAGAAACACAAAGCTGTTTACTTAGATGCAAAACATACTTAAATTGTAAAGACATAAACAACAAAGGATGAAGTCTTAATCCATCATATTCTATATTAGAAGATGGTGCTGCTTTTTATACGTATGAACCATAAGTCAATTTTTTCTAAACATGAGTGATAAAATTAGAATAAACAAAGGTGTTAATATACCTTTCATAAAACAAAAAAAATAAATGTTTTTAAGACTAGTATAGTTTTAAAAAACTAAGAAGGAATCAATTGATGTAAAATTATTCCAAAAAATCATGAAAATTTAGAAGAGAAACACAAATACCTCATGAGTATTGGAGTTTCCTATTATTGTATATTTTGCACTCACCCTAAATCTGTCAAAGGCATGAGAAGACTATAGCATGAGCAAGTAGGCCCTATCATAGTGACACTGAGAAAAGAAACCTACGATATGCGCAAATACCCGATTTGGAGTTATATCTATGACTAGGACCCATTCCGTGATTAACTCAGTAAGTTATCAGTCATAAAAAAGAACCTGTCTAGTCACTTCCCAACAGGAAAGATTGAACAAAAAGGCTTCAATTTTCAAATATCTGGAAACCAGCTAACAACAACATGAAACTAACTTGGGGAGTTAAAAGTCATAAGCAAGGTAGTAAAATAATGAATATAAGGTTATATTTTCTAGCAACCTTCAAACATTTAGGTTTTAAGAACCCAAATCTGAGAACAAACAATGTAAGTAAAAATGTGGATAAAAACTTTAACCTAACTTCCTTAACGTGTTTATTTTACATTATCTAGAAATGTTTTAATGTGATTAACTATTCCACCGTTACTTCTCTTTTTACCTAAAATGCTCCACAATTGTCTAAGGACTATGGAGCAACCGTCTTTTTCCACTCACCTCATGCTGACGGTCATCTTCATTATGATCCTTGTGACTAGCAGCTGAGTAGATTGCACTTTTTTTAACATGCGGCGCTTCCCGCTTTCTCGTGTGCCGAAGTTCACCTTCATTATCAGGATTAGGGTCTTGGTGTCCATGACCAGGATCGTGACCATCATGTTCTGGAGCATGTCCATGAGAATGGCCTGGGCTGTGTACACCATGTACACGATCAGGTTTATGGACCCGATTGTGCTCATACTGTCCGCCCTGATCATGGTTCGGGGGAAAGCCTGGCGTAATGACCTCTGAATTCTCATCGTTCTTCCCTTTCCTCTTCCGCTTTCCCCTCGGGGGCTTACTTTCAGAATGTTCCTGGGTCTTATTGGTCTCTGCGGAAGGCTCCTGGCTAGTCTCCCCACGCTCACCGTGAGGGATGGAATCATTAGCGAGATGGCGGGTGGTGTTATGATCAAGGTGATGCCGCAAACAGTGGTGATGGCATAGCCGGTGATTGCGGTCGCGCACGTGTTTATCATCAGACTTGACAGACACTTCAACTGCCTCCTTCTCGGGGTCACACTTATGGTACCTCTTTGCGGACACGCCGGTCACAGTTTGGTTTTCCGAGTTTAGATGCTTATGGGCATGCTGGTGGTTGTGTGAGTGAAAATGCTTCCCCTCTTGAACTGCCAAAATATCTAAGTGAGAAACATGATCGTGGCCAAGATCCTCATGATTAATCTCAACTACTTTTATTTCTCCGAGGCCCAAGTTTGTTAAAAGTTTCTCCAGACCAAAAAAGGATAACCTTCCATTTTCACCATAACGGTCGAAAAGTTTTTCAATGTAATAATTTTTTTCGTTTTTGGCAGCATCCAGCTCTGAAAACTTGCCCGGCTCCGATTCTGCCAGTCCATGGTGGTGTCTGTGGTGCTCTTCGGGCCCGTGGTCGTGTGGCTCATGGCAGTGGTTGCAGTGATGAAAAATAAATGTCAGCAAACAAATGAGGCAGAACTTTGTGTGCATATGTACCTTCATTTCTAGTTTTCCTGAGGGGATTTAAAGAGAGGCAAGCATTAGTTTGCACTTAGTCACACTCAAAATAACCATACACTCTCCAGCAGTGCCAATCTGCTTGGCAAATGTTTTACCCGTTTTTCCGTGGCTCTGAATTCGTCTTTCTTCTTCTGTTCCCTGTAAAAATGGCCCCTTTTATCAAAATAGCGTACAGCCTTTGAATTACTACAAACTGATAAAGACTCATCTGCCAGACTTCTACCATCATCTACTCTGACTTCCTGTCAGCACAGCACTTTACAGTCTATACATTTATACAGAAATTGGCTTCCTTCTCATCTGGTCCTTTACAAAATAGTGTGCTGATTCTGCTCCGAGTCCCTCTGGTAATTGAATAAGGCAAGATGAAATAAAATAATAAAATGTGTGAGTTATAAAGAAATGAAACTGTCATTATTTACATACGATAGGATGAGGTATATAGAAAATCCAAAATAACCTCTAAGAATTAATAAATTGATTTAGTTAAGTTGCTGGATATAAGAATAACATAAAATCATTTGTATTTCAACATACTAGCAATAATTAGAAAATTAGAAAACAGATTTATTTACTACAATAGCAAATAGCTAGTATAAATGACAAAAGATGTATAAGATCTTTACATAAAATATGATCACAGATTATTACTGAGAGAAATGCAAGACATAAATAATTGATTACTATACCATGCTTACGATGGGCTGGGATACAGATCCAATGTAATCCCAATTAAAATCTCCAAAGTAATTTGTGAGAATCTGAGATATTTTTAATACTTAGCTGGAAAAGGAACGGGCCGAGAAGGGCCAAGATGCTTTGGAAGAAGTAGGGAGAAGATGCACTCAACCACTTTCTGAAGGCGGTGTGGTGTGTGGCGTGGGAGTGAACATACCGGATACACAAAACTGAGAGCAAAACTAGAAAAGGGTGCTCTTTTCCTTGGTGACTGTCACTAGGTTTCTACATACAAGAAAAAAATACAATCCCTCTCCACCTACTGAAAACCAATTACAGGTGGATTTTAAATCCAAATCTAAAACAAAAATGTGAAATAAAATACCCAGAATGTGCTGTCCAATATGGCAACCACTAGCCACATGTGGCTTTGTAAATTTAAACTAACTGCAATTACATTAAAAATTCAGGCTCGGCCCAGCTGGTGTGACTCATGATTGAGCACCAACCCATGTGACTAGAGGTTCGATTCCATCAGGGCACATGCCCGGGCTGTAGAATCAATTCTCAACGGGGGCGTGCAGGAGGCAGATGATGATGGATGTTTCTCATCGATTGTTCTCTTTCTCCCCCTCTCCCTTTCTCTCCCTCACAAAAAAAAAAAAGAAAAAAGAAATAATAATAATAATATACATTTAAAAAATAAATCTTAAAAACAAAGCTAGCTGTAGCTTTAGTCATTCCATCCTTGCACAACCATATCCAACTCTGAAGCATTTACCTGCGACTGGCAGAGCAGAGCATGCTCCCTGCTAACTCACCACCAGTCATTCTAATCCCGCCCCCAGCAAAGCCTCCGCCTTCACGCTCCCTGGTATGTGTTCCCCCTCAGCAGCTGGTCGCTGTTTCATGTCTCTGACTTCACCCAGCCTGCCCTTCATAAGCAGTCAGGTGAGATCAACAGAAGAAAAAATCCCTGTCCGGGGCAATCTTTTATAACATGAACGTATTTTGATGGCTGACAGCACAGACTATTCCTCCCCACCGGACCCTCGCCAGGGAAGCTCTGTCTGATTACCTTTAGCTATCCCTATAACTAATCATTAAAACCATCAAATCCTTTTACTTTTTAAATTGATCTTTATTGTTCAGTCTTACAGAGGTCTGCTGATATACCCCAGTGGCCACGTCCACCCACACCCCATCCCTCCCGGGCCTTCACAGCACCGCGGTCTGCGTCGTGGGTTATGCATGTAAGTTCTTTGGTTAATTTCTCCGCCCCTCCCCTCTGACTCCGCAGTCTGTTCCATGCTTCTGTCTCTGGATCTATTTTGTTCATTAGAGTCTACATATGAGTGAGGTCACGTGATACTTTTCTCTTGTTGTTCACAAGGAAAATAATACAACAGTTAGTAAATAATACAATAAACTCTGTTTTGTTGCGTACTCACAACTGTAAACCTACTTTTGTCCCACCTTGTATATGAAAATTACATAAATTCTTCTACAAACATAGAGGGTTCTTACAAAGCTACATTCTGATACTCAGACCTGGGTTACATTTTGTGATACACAGAAACATAAAAAGGAAAACATTGTAAGAATATTATGAATGCCAGAAAAACAAAGCAGTGTACAAAAAGAAACAATTTACTACAATGGCTCAGTTGTAAATAACACTCATAATGTAACACTAAAGACTGTTTTGAAACAAAATCACAATATAATCATACTGAAAAACTGGAGTACAGGAAATAGTATGTGGAGCAATGGAAAGAATGCTAAATCCTCCTCCTTCATTAATCAGATAACGGCTAAAACTTAAAATGAACAGGTAGGAGTGAACATGCTGGAGACATGGCAGTAAATAGCAAATCCCCACCTAAAGGAGTCTTTGCTTCTCTAGGCAGAAGAATATAAAAAAAGAAGGGGACTGATGTTTTTTCTTCTCCCTGAAAATTTCACATAACTACTTAATTCTTTAAACTATATTCATGTTCAACTTCGATAAAAAAAAAAAATTAAAAACACCTAAAAATAAAGGCCAGCAATTATAAATCTTAAAAAAGTCTGTTAAACAAAATCACATTATGTCGTATGTAGAAAAAATAAATTGTAGTTTCAAGGTTTTTTCACAAGCATTTGTAGTGCTTTAATCAATAATTTTAATTCCAGCTGGTTACTTGTTTGGATAACTCTAAAACGTAGAGAAAGACTACAAAAATTTTAAGTTTAAATGTCTTATGATATACTTTCAAATTGGTTTCTAGAGAAATTAAGTTTTGTTATACTGCTACCAGCAGTATGATCATAGCATTCTCATTAATACTTGGCATTGATTTTGGAGTAATACATTGCCTTATTTTCATTTATATTTTTTAAATATTCCTGGTGTATCATTGCTTTTATCAACATATATGTGATACTACATAATAATAAATGGTCACATTTTTTTGCAAAAAACACACTCAGTTCTGCCCAGAAACTTTTAATTTTGATTACAATGGTTTACCCTTTCATGAATGTTTTCCTGGAAATGCATTATTGAACTGTTATAATTTCTTCTGATTTCTAAACTTAAGAAGTTTCTTCTCTCCATATCTAATACATATTTCCTTTTTGCCCCCTATTTCCTTCTTTTAAAAAACTAAAATGAAAATGAAAATGACCCCCAAAGATCTGGGGCCCCTAATATCCATTCCTTTTTTAGGGAAAATAGAAACATCACTGAACTAACCATATACTCTTACTTGTTTAAGAAAGTTAGTATGTTAGCCTCAACAAAACCTTCAAGTTCTTGTGTTTAAGCAAAAATCTTTCTAGTAAAAGCTCTAATATTTCTTATAAACTATAAGTTGTATTACATACTATATATTTACAGTGAATTTAAAGGACATTTTTCTTAAAATCTCTTTTGGTGATTTGATTTTAACATACCTTTCTGGTTTCCTTCTTCAGCTTTTTAAAAAATTGGTTATGATTATTTTCTTGAGAATGATTATTTATTTATACTGGTTGTATACATAAAATTATTCACTTTACTTGTAAAAGCTAATATCCTAATTAAAATAAAATCTTAAAAAGTATGTTCTACTTCACTTACTGTTTCTGGGATGTTAATTGGCACAGCCACTATGGAAAACAGTATGGAGGCTCCTCAAAAATTTAATAAAATTACCATATGACCCAGCATTCCTCTTCTGGGTATTTACTCAAAAAATTTGAAAGCATTCATTTGCAAAGACATATGCTCCCCTAAGTTCATTGCAGCATTATTCACAGTGGCCAGGACATGGAAACCACTGAAGTGTCCTTTGACAGGTGACTGGATAAAGATGTGGTACATGTATACAATGGAATGCTACTCAGCCATTAGAAAAAAATGAAATACTGCCATTGCAACAACATGGATGGATCTTGATGGAATATCCTGCTAAGCGAAATATGTCAGAAAAAGTTGAGGACCATGTGGTTTCACTCAGTGAGATATAAAACAAAAAGTAACAAATAAATATCAAAAACAAACAAAAACTTAGACATAGACAACAGTGTGGAGGTTACCAGAGGGAAGGAGATGGAGGGGTAACAAAGGGTAAGGGTCAAACACATGGTTACGGAAGATTTGACTTGAGTGGTGGGCATGCAATCCTATATATAGTTGATGTATCAGAGAATTCTATACCTGAGACATACTATATAATTTTATTAACCAATGTCACCCCAGTAAGTTTAATTTTTTTTAAAAGTATGTTCTGAACATTAAAAAATTATGCAGTTAAATTTCTACACTAAAAAAGATCAATAGGACAAAAAACATGATCTTGTTGCTTTATAATATATATATTATACATAATATATAGTATCTAATTATTCTTCATTGGTACATATGTAATCTCATGTATAATTATATGATACTATATTACAATCTAATGTTTTTCTAATTTTACATTGTTTTACTTTTTTCATTGGTTCATAATAACAAGTCATATATTATTCTCTTTATCTTGATAAGGTAGGTAAATCAATCTTGCCACAGTCCCCTTTATCAAGAAGGTAAACAGTGTGAAGTATATTTCTTCACAGAAACAGAATGATTCATCTATAGAATTGCATTAAGATTATTCTAAAACATTTGTTCACAGACCTGTAAACATGTGATCATGAATTGTTTTGTGTTCTTTTAAAAAAAATATTTTTATTGATTTCAGAGAGGGAGAGGGAGAGGGAGAGATAGAAACATCGATGATAGAGAATCACTGGTCAGCTGCCTCCTGCATGCCTCCTACTGGGGATCCAGCCTTCAACCAGGGCATGTGCCCTGACAGGGAATCAAAAACTGACCACCTGGTTCATAAGTTGATGTTCAACCACTGAGCCACACCAGCCATTGACCTATAAGGGGAATGGGTAGAGACTAGGAGGAAAGGGGAAGGGAAAGGGGACAGGCAGGAAGAAGACATAAAATTATGAAATATATTCTGCTCTGAAGGAGGTACAAGGAAGATGAAATTATTGTTTTTAATTAGCAAACTGTGAGAGCTGCTACACAAGTAGGTGGTAACTCAGAGTTGAAGGCCAAGGGCTTCACATTCCAATGCCAAGCACTGATAAAGGTGCTATACTTCCTACTGAGGGAGCAGGCACCTGGAGATATGAGAGGCTTCTCCACTGCCTAGGTGAAGACAGGAAAACGCACACTCATGCTATGCATTGCTATTTAACTGAATGTATCTCTATTGAAGTAATTTATAGGTTCTAGGAAGATATAATTATTGAAAGTAATAGCAATATGTCAAATAATGATAGAGCACTAACAACTGGATCCAGGGGTCGGCAGGCTTAAAAGGACCAGATAGTTCACATTTTAATTTTTGCGGGCAGCACAGTGTTCAAGGCAACTACTCCATCCTGCCATTAGGGCGCAAAGCAGCCACACAGCACGCGCACAAAGAAGGCTGTGTGCAATATTGAAGTCACAGGCGCAGGCTGACTTGGTCTAGGGGACATAGCTTGCTGACCCCTGGCCTTCCCTACACATTTTTTTAAATTACCAATTCTGTGGACAACTGTAGGGAAAAACCACTATCTGAAAATTTACAAATTCACAGAAGATATAACGTGAATTCAGAAGAAAGTTTACAAGAGTGAGGGCACATCTGAAATGTGATTTTTTAAAATTCAGATATTAAAAGAACAGTGGGATGTAGATCTTTGTTGTCTTGTTACTCCAGCTAAAGGCTATTTAGATTTCCTACTTCCTATATGAATGAAAATAAGTCTGAGAACTAAAGTGATCATTGGCTGACAAGTCTAATTACTT